TTTACATAGGAATATATAGGAAAAATCTTTAAACATCTTCTTGAGAACCATTGAGACAGGAAAGATGAAACTCCTGTGAAATCATCCTCAGGTAGTGTAGATTCTAGTTTGTTCAAATCATGACCCCTGGGGGTACATGTAGGATGGGGCCAAAATGCAGATCAAAGTTTTACATAGGAATATATAGGGAAACCTTTTGAAATCCTCTTTTCAAGTACTTCAAATCCATGCTTAGTGATATTTATATGGAATCATCCTCAGGTAGTATAGATTCTTGTTTGTTCAAACCATGACCCCCTGGGAGGTTGAAATTCAAGCCCCCCTCCCCAACGCAATAAACTTTCAGTTTTGATCTGATATGTGCTTTTTCCTAGCAAATTGCTCAGGTGAGCGATGTGGCCCCTGGGCCTCTTGTTTACAACTATTTTCACTAAGGGGTAGATAGACTGAGTGGTCGATTATATGTTGTTTTATTGTCCCATTCGAGAATTTTTCACTCATTAAAAAACGTCATTATATACCGGTTAAGGGCTTCACATTTTGACCTTTACTCGACTGTCAAGACCACTAAGTAGTGCTTTATCGTGCAACAGGGCCTCAGTTTTTTTGGGTCTTATCCAAAACTTGCGCCAGGACAATACTACCTTTCACAGTTCTCTTTAACTGAGCAGCAAAGTTCTGCCTTGTATTTTAACAACGTCATGGGTACTTTGTCATATTTTAATTTGTCGTGATGTAAGGAAAGTGTTCAGTGGCTAATACACTTTAGCTAGAACTAAGATTAAGGTTTTTTATAATACTTGTTTGCGTTTGAATACTTCTTTGGGTTTGCAAGTGAAGGAGAGAAAAGGAATATGTACATGTACGTACCTGGTTTCATAATAAAGACATTATCGGGAGGGAAAGCTAAGTACAAGGGTTTTCCGGTAAAATCGTAGACAAAGCGTTTTTCTCGAAAAATAATGAGCGCATTAAGCTGAAATTCTCAGAAAATGTTTATTGATCATTTTAAATGAATTAAATTTTTTTGATAAAATATAGACAAAATAAAGATTTTTAATGCTTGAATATGTACAAGGTACAGTACAATGGTGCACGATCAAAAATACATCATTTTATTATAGAATACGCGAGTATTATTTCATAAAAGTATTTAATTTTTAGGAGTGGGGTTTTTACTCTATTTTTAATTCATCATCTATTATGTTATCTTTTGGAAAATTTCAAGTCATTTGCTTAATTTTTGGCAGTTTTCCGAGCATTCGAAATTGGAATGTGGATAACACAGTACACGAAAACTGTCGACCTCTGATGACGTTAAGGCGCACCAGAGAGCAGTAAAGTTGTAAAAATAACGCCTTAACTGACCTAAAATGAATACAAAGAAAAAATATGGAAAATATCACAAGGTCTTTGGTATACAATTGAAATGGTAGTTTTCTGAGTGAAATCATTTTGATTGAATCCCCAGGTAGAACAAAAGATACGGACAAACAGCTATGCTAACAGCAAAAAAACGCTGTCACTATAGACCGTCGATTTTGAGATTGCCTATTTAGTTGAATTATAGTGAGAATACTGTCCATAACTTTCAAATTAATCTTTGGAGTGTTCCATGCATGTGAGATATTGGTTCTTCCACTGTTTAAAGCAAAGAGGAATTATGACGCTATTTTAGACACTTTGACGTTATCATCAGTGCGCCGTAAGGCAATAGAACACATAACATAGAATCTCATAATTTGTTTATTTTTTAATATATCCATTTGAAATTTGCTATGTATATTGATGCAAAATGTACTCAAGAGTAGGGAAAATTTTAGAAACCAGTGGGGATTATTTTTCACGCTAGACAAATTATCCACGATTTTACCGGATTACCCTCGTAAATGCAGGACGTTAAATTGGTCTCAAAACATAAATTTAAAAAAATAATTTTTTAACCAGTTTTATAACTAAAGGCGTTGCATTTAAAATTTATTTATTAAAATTATTGAAACCAAAGAATTGACATTAAAAGCTTTTCTGAAAGCAATAGCTTGAAAGTTCCTCCGTCGGTAATGATATGCGCGAAAACAAGTACGGAAAAAGTAGGAAGGACTTTAAGCGACAATTTTCTGCAATTTTTTAAAAAATGAAACTCATAAATCTTGGATTTATTATCGAACATAAAATAGTTGTATACATTCTTCGTAGAACTTAAATGTTTTGAATAATTTATGTTTTGGGTGTACTTTTTTTCTTCGCTCATTATGTAAACATGTGAAGAAAATGAATCTAGAGAATTCATTGTTTACTGATGTTTTCTTTTTGAAGTACCTCCGTTTTCAATGAGGGACATTCATCTCATAGCAAATCCTCATCTCTACCGTGGATTCTTATAGTCTTGGCATTTGTAGTACTCCTTGTTGTCATCACTGTGGTAGCTATTGTGTGTCACAGAAAAAGAAGATCACGAAAGAAAAGATCACGTGAGCATGAGTTTTATGTTAGGCCTATAATATCTCAAATAAAGGCACCTACAGAAAAAATAAGTCAATACATTGACTATTTTTTAACACCCATTGCTCATACTTTGAGCACTTTTATTAGGGATAGTTCAGACTTCATTTTAAAAATAGAACGTCTGCGACCACACAGCGAGTGCCTGCTGGTCAGTTATGATGTAACATCACTTTACACAAATATGCAATTCGAGGAGCTAATCGCAGCCGTTGAAGCGGCCTACAGAGAATTTGACAGAAGCGTATTCTCAATCCAAGCCCCGCCCACAGCGGACCTGAGTTATTTGCTCAGATTAATTCTAGAAATTAATATATTTGAATTTAATTCAAATATTTACAAACAAATTATAGGATGTGCGATGGGATCTAAATGTTCCCCATCTGTATGTGATATTCGCTTGCATCAGATCACCAACGAAATTCTAAACAAATTTCCGGGGAAAACAAAAATAATATATCACGGTCGCTATCGCGACGATGGATTTATCATTTTTCATGGAAATGAAAATGAGATTCATGAACTTTTCTCTATAGCCAATGCTCATCACCCATTATTGAAATTCACGTATGAAATTTCTAAGCAAAGTATGAATTTCCTAGACACCACGGTATACAAAGGAAATAAATTCAACAGAGATTTAATCCTGGATTTCAAAACGTATATTAAACCCACCAACACGTTTCAATATTTGGATCGGTGTAGTGCTCATAATCCTTCTGTCTTTAAGGGATTCATTAAAGGCGAAACCATTCGTCACCTAAGAAATACTAGTGACACTACTGCACTCAACGAAATTTTAAGTGAATTTAAAGTTAACCTCAAAAAGAGAGGCTATAGTGAAAATGAAATCAATCAGAATGTACAAAACGTTCTTGATAATTATAACAGGGACACAGCTCTCAAAGAAAAAAATAATAAGAAAAAAAGAGAGATCCCCCTGGTTTTTGTAACCAAATACAATCCAGGACTCCGGAAAATAAAACAGAAATTAATAAAATAATGGCACATTCTTTGTAAAGATAAAGACTGTAATGCGATTTTCTCTGAATTGCCTATTGTGGCATATAAACGCAATAAGAATCTGTGTGATATGATCACATCTTCATTAATTAAATAATCTGTATGACAGATTTGCAAATAGGCTCCTGATGATGGCGGATTTGCAGCTAAGTAATTAACTGTAATAAATTATAATTCATAAACCTCGTATCACACCGCCGAAACACTAAATTAGTGTCGAGTCAAGTGATTAGAGGTACGTGGCTGATGAGAGTCACTTTCTTTGAAAAAGAAGACTTATCAAAGTTTGATGTGAGTACTTGTCAGGAATCTGTCATCGTGGAGGAACCGATACCAATTTCTGACGTAGAGATAAGAGACCCTACAGAAAAATCATTTTATTATGCAAACAAATGCAGAAACAAAATCACATATTTTTGATTGTTACTTCAACTCAGAAGGCTTTGAAAACAATTGCAAAAGAAATAAAGAACTGTGACTTTGGAAAAAGTGAATACCGCTGTATTGATCTTGATTGGAAGAATTCATCCAAAGGAGATAGGATTCCAATCTTTCACACCATTTTTCAATTCTACAATCCAGACAGACCATTTTCTATGGTAAAAAATTGTGTTTCAAAATTTAAAGAAAGAAATGTTGGATTCCCGGATATTTGCACATTGTTTTCTAAATGTAGCGAATTTCAGAAAGAAAAAAGCGTATTCATTAATAGACCGCTGCGTTATTTAAGTTTATATCTGGAAAAAATGTGTCAAACCCCAAATTTAAAAGATAAATTTTTTGTACTAGTTTATATGAGTTTAAATGATATGAAAATAGACATGAACAATTTGAACGACACGTTTTGGGAAATATTCAATACATATGGTTTAAATACTGATGGTGTACACTTAAAGTCTATGTTACCAGTAGAATTGGTCGTTGAAGAAGAACCATATGTGTATGTGTTACAACACGAAATTATAAAAAGAATAACACTCAGAACATTTGGAAAGTTTTATTTCTCAGATTAACTTCGGTTTTCATCAAGAAAAGATCTGGAGGGCTGGATAAAACACAAAAAGAAAAATATTTTTACACCATTTGTGAAGGTGCAAAAGAAACATCGGACATAAAGCCAGTTCTTGAAATTGGTGATGATAATTGGATTGAATATCAGCAAAAAATGGAAGATGAAAATTTGCAAAAAGTGATAAAGTAAACAGCAAAAATGAAATTGACGTCTTCAACCTACCTTTGTGACAATGAAACAAATCTCATACAAAAAAAATTCTCAACTCATTTTTTTTTCTAAGAATTATTTTATTTCTCAGCCATAAAAAATTTTCAGACAATTTTTTCTCAAGTCAAGAAAATTCATAAGTTTGATTTTTAGCATTCTTAAGTCTTAAGAATTTTCACACGAACATTCAACATGGCTGCTGTGCATATACGTCTTCGACGCTCTTTATGCTCCAAGGGTGTTAAGATATAAGATGGACCCTTTGTCTTACTCTGATGAGGAACTCTTTGAAAAATATCGCTTTAAGAGACTCACCATCTTGTTTATTCAATGCGGTTTGGCTTAGAATGCGAGACGAAGAGGAATATGGCACTCTCTCCGATATTCTCTCTCTCTTCCTATGCCTCATATTTTTGGTCACTGGTGCCTCACAGCTGCTGATAGGAGACAGCTTGCACAACTACAGGAATCCTGCACCGGCAAGGAAATTCGGGCCGTGACTTACCTAATTATCAGCGCCTTCAGGCAACGTATCCTCTTTCCTGTCGGTGAAATGTTACATAAAGTTATGGAAGGATTTAGAAAGATTGCAGGTATTCATTATTTCAACGATTTAGATGTCTAACCTCAAAATTCAAAGTCATATACATCATGCATAATTTACACCTTCAACAACTTTGATGGCTTCTTATATCACTGAAAAAGAATGCGATAAAAGGACCACCTTTAAATGTATATAATGTTTATGAAAATAAATTTATGATAAATTTACTATCAAATAGAGGATATTGAAAAGAGCATAATGAAAAAAAAATTTTTGTTTGATTTATTGTATTGTAATAAATTAATCATTAATTGATTCATTTATTATATTTATTTTTGATTCTCTTTCGTTTAATCTTAAATCTGATTGGTGTTTGGGCATGAGGTCCTTTCAGGAGATATTTGTATGTGTGTGGGTTTTTCCACCCGTGATGATTTTATTCATTCATCATGGGGAGAAAAAAAAGATGAATGCATGGAAAAACAAATTCCACATAAAACTCAAAGAATTCAAATAAATGCAGTTAAAATAAGTTTTGTTTTTAAAACACGTGAAAATTTCGGAAACCAAGTGTAAAAAAATTATCAGATATATAATAAAATAAGAACTTTTCTTGAAAAAAAAAACAGGATTTCCACAAGTTCTCGGATATGTAGACGGGGTTTTAATTAGAATCAAAATGTCATCATATACCATATTCATTGAATTTAACTTGCAGGTACGATCTACTACGAGTAGTTGAAGTATATCCTGAAATAATTTTTAATTTCACAAAGATATATATCTAACAAGAGGCCCATGGGGCTTATAGGTCACCTGAGCAAATTGCAACAACTCTCCAACCATTGAATTTGGTTCTTGTTTTAAACCAGAGGCAATGACATTCACAATTTTGAAAGAGACACCATTGCTCATCATAACCATACACTTAGCATGATTAGTATGGTTACTTACATGTAATACCCATAAGCAGAGTAGGGGGACAAAAAATGCATTTTAACTAATCAGTAATATTAAGCAATAATCAGTAGTGCCCCGACCCTTCCTTCTCATAGCTATGTATGTTGTTAGTTTGTTCTTAATACCCAGGAGCAGAGTAAAAGATTTTTAAAGAATGCATTTTCACTTTATAATCAATAATGTCCAGCCCTATGTACTTTTACATTCAATTGAACCATGTTCACAGAATTTAATTGATACCTCCTGTAGTATTTTTTTCAACAGCACCAGTTGCATTCCACGCTTATCTGGGTTGGGATCGGACATACCCTGTTGGCATACCATGGAAATACGACACCATCCTGACTAAAACTGGAAATGCATACGACAAAATTTCTGGAAAACTCACCGCTCCAGAAGATGGTCTTTATCTTTTTACCTTTTCTACCTCAGCGAATCTCAACAGACAGGCAGCGCCCTCTTTGGTGGTCAACGGGAATGACGTTAAGGTTGTACAGGTGTGCAGTAATGCGCCTCCAGGTAACAAGAGATTTACCTGTAGTAACACGGCCGTTATCCAGTTGCAGAAAGGACAAACTGTTAATATACAAGAAACCCACACAACTGCCCAACCATCGGGTACTTATTCCACCTTTGTTGGGTTTAGAATAAGCTAAGTAGTCAGGGTTGACACATGATTGAGGCGGTTTTTAAAAGTAACTATTAATATAATTACGTTTTGCTTTCTTTTAAAGCATCAAACATAAAAATCAAAAACATTCATACACGTATTTTAGAGCAAATAATGAATTTGGTTCTTTATAACACAAGAATGGCTAAAACAAATATAATGAAACATTAACATGAAAATGTCTAGTTAGATTTGAAAATTTTATAACTTGTTTCTACGCATTTAACATTTTAATATACATTAACTTTTGAAAGATAAGCACCTTCTTAATGCCAGTCAATTCTAAAGCTTGTGTTTATAATGTCTAAGAGGATGAAAATAAAGCTGATGTTTAAAAGATAACTTAAGGACAACTTATAAAACAATATTGACACACACTTCACTGTTTTCTCAAGATTTTCATAATGTAATTTTATATTTTCTCTTTCCAAAAATGTGCTTTTGATACTTGTAAGTTGTTAACATTCATCCCATTTAAGCTTTATTGTATTTAAATCGGGCTAACAATACGCATGTTGAAATGTGATCTCTTTTTTTTCACTCACTCATATCAAGTGTCCGAGAAAATTTTTTATTTGTATATCTACTATTATTCATCAATGCTTGGTATGCATTGTCTATCTTTAATTTGTTTATCATACATTATATTGTGAAAACAAAATTTCCTCTCAACATTTTAATTTTATGGCATTTATTTAATATACTTTATGATTTACTTTGATCTTATTTTTCAAAATTACAAATGAATGACATTTTAATGTAAAATAAGATTTCTCTGTGGGTTTTTTTTCTTTACCATGTCAATGATTTAATTTTCCTTTGTTGCTGTTGTTTTGTTTTTTGTTTTTTGTTTTTTTTGTTTTTTTTGTTTTTGGTCATGTTGAAGTAAATCGTCATTACAATAAATATTTTTCATCGTTAAAACTTCAAATTTTGGTGTGTCACAAAAATTATCGGACCTTCATTTCATGACATCATCAAAATTTCAAAGCATTGCTATAAAGAAAACTGTTTCATATAAGCTCCCTGCCTTGAGTGGAAGAAGAAAATATATTTTAAGGTACACAACCGTGCTAATTACTAGTATCAAACAAAAATACAATGAAGAACACATTGTAATCTTTGTAAATGTAGATGAATTGTATGTTGTTTTAGGTCCTCTTCGAGAATTTTTCACTCATATAGAGACGTCACCATATACCGGTGAAAGACTTCAACATTAGACCTTTATTATAAACCTACTGTGTATCACTCAATTTTACTGTTGATTTTACGCTCTCACGTGACGTCGTGATCCGTCTTTTCGGATCTCCACACTGTAGTTATCTGAATCCATATCACCACTCTCTGAAACTTATAACGTAGTACGCAGAGACATGACGTTACTTTTCTTGCGCGTTAAAAGGTCCCTTGTAATTCTGCTTTGTTTTATGAATAAATGTTATAAAATTGATCTCTAAAGTGTTATTTTGCTCTATTTAGCTAGTTATTAGGGGGTGTATAATAATTTTATCATTATAACAGTAGATTGATCCGAAGAGCGTATCACGTCTCGTTGACAGGCGCGGATCATCAGATCAAACTCGACGCTTCGCGTCCCTTTAGATCTGATGATCCGCGCCTGTCAACTCTACGTGATACGACCCTTCGGATCAAGTTATTGTTATGATAATATATATTTACTCAGCACTCAGGTCCATTGCTGCGCAGTGGGTTTTTTTTATCGTTCCATAGCCCTCCGTGACAAGGGACCAAACAGAAAGGGACAAGTTAGGCTTAAAAACCTTAGTTGTTGTATCGTATAAATAGTGACTATTTAGCATGAGAACGTTCCATATAATTGCGATTCTCCAATGATGGTTCCCTATCAATCTAATTTAATGTTGTACAATTTATCAATATATAATTGATCTGGTTTGTACTATCGTCCACTTCGTAGTATTCTGGATACATGGGGTTTGGGTGGGGTGGTGGAGGGGGTATGTGCCTCATACTTTCTATTGCCATGAGACTATTTAAAATATATGCAAGATACCTTTAAAGGAAAAAAATCTCTAACTGTTTTTATCTCATTTTTAAGAAAAAATGCAAATAATAACTAAAGATTTCTTAAATTTAATTAACATATTCCGATCAATCAAACTTTAGCAAATTCTTAGCTCCTTGTTTGTTTTCCGTCCAGAATTGTTGCATGCTTAAAAGCTGCGAAGGAATGTTAGAACATTTAAATGCAAAGAAATGATAATTTTATTATGAATTATGACAAATATTTACACACAACATTGTTAAATTGATATGATTTTCACCTGACACATCAAGGCAATCATATTAACAAAGTTCTGATCAGCATGAACAAGCAATTACTTGTTGATTTAATGAATTCATTAACACATTGGTCGTGAACCCATTTATTTTCTTGCAACCTTCAGCATGTTCAGTCTTTAGATATACCGACAAGCTATTGTCAATAACTGATTGTAACTCCCATTCATACGTCTATACGATATGACTTTTCAATCATCTGGAAAAAATCACTGGTGGGTATTACTGGTTGTTATGGGATGCTTACTACTCCATGACACGCTATCCCACCTCTGGTAGTTGTGTAATGTAACAAAGGAGTTGTGGGTTTTTCATATCTGATTGGAATCTCCATTTTTTGTCTTTTTCATTTTATTCAAGATTTTTAAATTATTGATTTCGAGAATCAGAAGTTGCATTGTAATTTCATCATGTTCTTTGGTATCATTGTTCCAAGACATTTCTGCAAACTTGCTTAGGGGTTTAATGAATAAAGAAGAAACAGAAAATCAAAAGCTTACATTGACAATAAAACAAAAAAGAGAGAGAAAGAAGAAATGCAATAAAAGTAGCACTTAAAACACTCTATGAAAGAAATATCACTTAGCGAAGAAAGACAGAACCTAGCTCTTTGTGAAGTCTTTATTTGGCTAAATTTACAAAAAAG